GTGAAGTTGGGTGTACACAGGTAGATTTTGCACAAAAGCTTGTACGAAAAATCCTGTCGGAACATTTGATAATACCATCAAGAGTGTTGGCGATTGTCATTCGAAATTTCGTTTGATTTACGTTAGGGATGCACCTATACCGGCTTTTCTGTATCGAGTACCGATATTTATATTTCGGTACTCGCCGGTACTGATACTTCCGGTAGCATAGAGTCGGCTTTCTGGGCAATTAGGAAGCCAGGCGGCGTGTCATTACCCACCGCCCGGCTTCTTCAGATCTGACAATATGGTGACACCACCCCCACCCTGCAGGCACCTCATTCCCCTCACTTAGATCCTTAGCAGCAGTCATTACCATACGAGTCCAGCTGGGCAGACACCGCTCTCCAAGTTCTCCCGGATCTGCCCACGTCTCCTTTGTGTACATCGCCCACGTGCTGCTACTGCACATACTGCCCAGCGCTCTCATTCAGAAATCCTGTGCATGCGCAGTAGCAGGTTGAGGGCCGATCACGCGGGCGCTGTGCACACAGGAGACGTGGGCAGATCCCGGAGAGCGGTGTCTGCCCAGCTGGACTCGTATGGTAATGACTGCTGCTAAGGATCTATGTGAGGGGAATGATTTGTCTGCAGGGTGGGGGTCATGTCGCCATATTATCAGATTTGTTTGCCTGGCTCGACACTGATTGGCTGGGAAGCCGGCTTCCCGCCCAATCAGCATCGAGCCGGCCAAACAGCTTGGAACTAGCTTCCCGGCTCCATGTTCCCTCGCGGCACTGCCGGTCAGGGGAAATCTCCCTCGGACCGCAAGTTCCAGTATTGGGAAAAGTATCAGAACGTTTGGGCGAGTATAAGTATCTGTACCGATACTTGTATCGGTATCAGTGCGTCCCTAATTTTCATTTTATTTAACATTCAAACGTGGAATTAATGGAGTTTTACAAACGAAAACCACTTTCACTGTTAGAATTTCGCTTGAACGAAAAAACATTTCCAACATGTTCCTTTCAATGTTTTCATCACCGAGGTCGAAATCGTTTACCGATTTCACTGCATCAACAATTAGAAAGTCGAACGAATCTTCCAAAATCGATTCCATGCATTTGAAATTCTAACCGTGTGTACCCTGGAGAGATTTTCCCTTGCTTGCGTATCCCTGTTGTAGATTTCCCTCGCCTGTGTGATAAAACATCTCTCGCCTTGACAGTGGCAGGGGTACAAATCCTTCCCCACTTTATCCAAAATGACACTTTTTGCCCCACTCACATTTAAGCTAAGCGTCTCTGGTCATTTTTTCTGGCTTTTATTGAGCTTTTGTGTAGGTGTTTTTGCATTCATTTCAGGCTTGAGCTTCTTTTATCATCCTGTTGAGCCAATGAAACGCTACTCACTAGGCAAGAAAACACATTAAAAAAAAACTTGCATTTTAAAGGTGCTTCCATTGAAGTCTATTTGTACCAAAGCATTTCACTCTTCCCCAAAAGAAGCTCATGTACTTTCTTCAGCTACAGACATTTTGTGGTCACATGACATGTGGAGGACCTCTTTCTCTTAGTCTTCCTCTGGTGGTGGGTGAAAAAACGCTCATGTAGTGACATCAGCAACTTCCTGTGTAGCATTCTCCTGTGAACCTAGGCTGACTTAGTGATGCACCACCAAGGATCCATGGCGTTGTGGGCTCACATAAGGCGGTTTAATGACACACAGCATCAATCAAGCTTAAAAACAGCTGGTGCTGGACCATAGCATGGTGAGTCTGCAGTACCTTTTTTATTTAACTAGTGCTGGCCAATGTTTTTTTTTTTAACTGCAGTTGGCTTTAACAGACACCGTCACCTTGCCCATACAGGGGAATAATGTCTCCGCAGGTCAGTGATAATTGATCAGTAAGTGGTATGTAAATGAATGAGAAACTGAGGTCTCTACCTACCAGCCAGTATAGCAGATATGAATAGACATAACCTGATACCGCCTGATGCTGCCTCCTAGGCTGTAATGGGGCGGTCACCTGACATGCAAACAATGGTGACTGACAAGCGTCTAAGAGTTTGTTCTTTCTTTTCCAAATGATCAGATACCTTATGTCAGCAGGCACTGATACTACTAAATCCTCAACAGCTGGAGAGCCATCTGGTGACTACAAAATCACATGTAATGACATGAACTACATACAAACACTGCCACATGCTGATCACTAAATACAACAGCAAAGAATAGTATTGCAACAAGGAGAAAAGCAAGAAAAAGAGCCCGGAGCTAAGAAGTGTTTTATAGTTTACAGTAAACTTGATAGATTTATCATATTTGTCCAGGTAAACATTAGATATTCCTTACACGGGAGTTATATTTTATTCCCTTGCCAGACTCATACAGTAGGCAGCAATCGTTGTTCTAACTGCACTCCATGTAGCCATTATAACCTGAATGATGAAGTGGTGCTTGTAATGACTGCAGAGGCTGGCACGGTGCAGAAATTACAATTCGGCTGTTTTATTTATCCGTTATGCACATCTCCCTTATATTTTGTTCAAATACTGTATATGCTCACCATTGCCTTTTCACTTTTTTGGTGGGATTGTGACATCAGAGGGGGATACACATGTGGCTTTACTGTATATATAGAGCTGATAGGGTTTTGCAGTGATCATACAGTAGGCATTCACAACGTTCCTTCTGAGGCCCTCAGTGAGCTGTCAATCTTGGCATAAAGACACTACATGCGTCAATAGCAAGGACACCAGACCCTACGGGCCATTTTTTCTCTAGCATATCATCTTTATCTGTAGGCACTGTTTGAATGAAGATCAAATGTTTTATATTTTAATAAAGTCAACCATTTCCATGGGGTGTACTTACTTTGCCACATGACTGTATATCATGAGATTTCTCCAATTGCTACAAGTAGCAGAGGTCTTTTCATACGACAGCCACAATATTAGGGCCACTGAGAGGTGAATATCTCCTTACAATGGCACCTGGAAGTGATTGGAGATATATTAGGCAGCAACATTTTATCCCTGGAGTTGACGTGTTGGAGACAGAAAAAAATGGGCACGTGTAAGGATTTGAGGGACTTTGACAAAGGCCAAACTGTGATGGCTAGACGACTAGGTCAGAGCAACTCCAACGTGGAGGTCTTGTGGAATGTTCCCACACTGCAGAAGTCAGGACCTACCAAAAGCAGACCATGGGCGGTCAACGCTCATTGATACACATGGGGAACAAAGGTTGGCTTGTGTAGTCCAATCCAATAGAAGAGCTACTGTAGCTCAAATTGCTGAAAAGTTCATGCTGGTTCTCACAGAAAGGCAGCTGAACACAAAGTGCACCAAAGTTTGTTGTGTATGGGGCCCGCGTAGCGAAGGAGGAAAGATCTGAAACTGCCAGACCCCATGTCAGTATGTAGGGAATCAGACATGTCTGTTGATATCAATTACCCCCAAACCCGGCAAAATGGATCTTACCCGTCCGTTTACACGCATCTGCCCATAGACTATCATCGGGCATCTGATCTGGGCCACATGAAAAACCTGACAGGAGAACCCAATTGGACCACCCATGTGAAAGAGGCCTAAGGGTTAGGAGTTTTTACACAGATGTTTTTATCTTGGCAGAAGTTCACTTATATTTTGGAGTGCAACTGATCCACAATAAAAGGACTTTTCCCATAAGGGATTATTTTATATTAAATATTTGATTTCATACATAGTTTTAGATCTGGATTCCCTGCGATTTGTACGACTTTATCATTTTGGAACTATTTATCGCTCACATGCATTTGAGTGATAAGCTACTTTTGGGGTTTATAATAGGAGGTGCACCAAAATGAAATTGAAAATAAAAAACAATTGTCAGGCCAAAACCAAAAAATATTTTTTTAACTTTTAATTAAAAAAGAAAATCTTTTATATTTGTTCTTGTCCCATGAGGGGGTCACTTGGCAAAATGACAAGACTTCAAAAGTAAATATATACAGTGCCCGTGTTATTGTCTGCACATGTTTAAATTGTCAGTATATTTTTGGTGATGTTATTTGTTTGTGTGTATAGTCAGGATTTCTGATTGATGTTGGTATTTCGTTCAGTTTCTATATGCAGTGTCCGTATATATGCGTGTTATTTTTCCCCACAGGCTTTCATTTGAAACATGGAGGACCAACAGATTCACACACTAAAAGAGCCTCCTCACCTGCTTACATTTTTTTTGCAGGGAGGAGGCACATTCCCTGGTGGTCCAATGGTTGATTAATATGTTCAGCTCCTTTGGCTGGTGCAGACCTTACTAATCCTTTCTTTTGGCCGGCGCTCGGTGAAGGCTGTCAGACCGCACGGTGCTGTGACTGACACGAGCAGGTATGCAGTCTGAATCTGACAGATGCCAACAGTGTATCCACTCCCCAAGTCAGGTACACAGTCTGACTGACTTGTCAACTTGCTGCAGGCCACATGGTACCAGGTCACAAGCCGGTACTTTGAGACCCCTGCTTTAGACCCATAGCAGGCAGTTGTGCTGCGTCCAGTTATATAACTTACAGCAGGGGTGGGCAAACGCCAGCTCTGGTGAAACTGAAAATCCCATCATGCACCTGCCTCTGGGAGTCATGGCTGTCAGCCTTGCAATGAGTCATGGCTGTCAGCCTTGCAATGAGTCATGGGATTTGTAGTTGCACCACAGCTGGAGGGCCAGTTTGCCTACCCATGAGCTATAATATTCTTGGAGGAGGGTGGGGGGTGGCAAAAAGAAAAAACAAAGTCAAAACCATTATAGTTTCTGTTTAATGTCATCATTCAGAAATTAGACCACAGCCACATTTCAGAATTAACCTCATTTTATTTTAAATTTTCAATGTAATCCAATTTCAAACAAAAGCTAGATACAAATTTAAACCAGGTAAGCACTAGTATTAGGCAAAGGGAGCAGGCCTATACAAGTTTAATCACAAAGGTACTGAAACCTTTCAGCAGAGCCTTCTCTCTACACAATACAGTAGTCGACCTTAATTTTCATTGCACAAAATAAAATTCTCCTCTGATCCAACTTCGCACACTTCTGCTTTCCTTTTACACAGTTTGCAACTGCTGTTAGAGAACGAGGTTTTCAGAACCCGCTATAGGTTTCTGGTTCTAAACGTATTACTTTATTCTAGGAAAGTAATAACCGCGCAAATCACCAGCAGGCCCATGTCTCCATTCCTCTATCCAGAAACATATGGTTTCCACAGTGCTCACGTACTTGTCTATGTAATATAGCTACTGCAGACTGCTAGGCTATATCCTTATAATGCACCCGCCGTGGGAAATGCCGATAGGTATGCAGCAACTGCAAGAAGAGATCAGATTTTTAAGTGCCTGTACACTCGGTCTCATCCCTGTTAAAGGAACTAGGATATGAAAGCAAATGCTGAATAATCAGGATTTATCTACATGTAACCTTTCCAGAATCTGCCTTCATCTAACTGCATCAAATCCTTGCTTCACTGAAGCCATTCAGACAGTGCTTTCATAGTGAGTAAAGCAGTGTAGCTTCTATACCCGTTACATTCATGGTTCACCCTCAATACTGTAGTCTAACGCTCTAAACTTTGTTAGGGGATATGACCAGTGCAAATGGGAAGACCACCAAAACAAATAATACCTTGTGCTTTCTGATACATTTGATTCAGTGTGCCAGAGTCCCATCGATTCACATTTTATGAGGCTAAAGCAAAGATGTTTCAGAACATCCTCTTTTTCACAAGGTCCATGCGCAACAAAAATCAAAAAATTAAAAAAAAAACAAAAAGTCCAGATACAAATTGATGAAGAAAGAAATATCCAGCATGAAGGTTCACAACATACACGTTTTCTGAGCACGAGTCCATATTCTTCTGGAATCTGGAGATAAAAAGAAAATAAAAAAGATTGCCGCTAAGATCTGATCTTCCCAGTTTGACTGGTCACACCCTTACTCTGGCATGTAAGGGTGGAGGTGATCCTCAACAGTGCCAACCGCCCAATGGGTGAGCTGTTCCTGTGGCAGGTAGAGGCAGATGCTGCATAACTTGAAGATCGTGGCTTTGCTTTTAGGAGTCTGCAACACAGAAAAAGGCGAGATGGGAAGTATTAAGATGCTTTAAGACGGTTGTAGCAGTGTGAAAAAAAAACGATTAATCGACTTCTGATTAGTTGGCCCTGTTCACGGCTCCACACGCTGCGCGCCACACCCGCCCGCATCCACACGCCGCACCTCCTCCCTGCCTCATGCTCAACGCCCGCATCCACAATTGGCACAGAGACGCAGGGAGAAGGAGGAGCAGGTGTGGGGGGGCGTGACAGCCGCCGACAGGCCCGATCTTAGAAGCAAGTTGCTGGAAGACTGCCCAGGTAAGCCGGCACTTTCCCACACATGGTGCTCTATAATGTATTGCTGGGATTTGTAATCCTCTATAGCTGATGGTACATTGCTCTCTATAATATACAGCACAATGTACCATCAGCTATAGAGGATTACAAATCCCAGCAATACATTATACACTATGTATAATGTATTATTGCATTTCTATATAGCTGGTGGTATTCTGCATTGCGCTGTATAGAAGACTACAAAACCCAGCAATAGTACATTATACAGCGCAATGCAGAATACCGCCAGCTATAGAGGAATACCACAAATCCCAGCAATAGTACATTATACAGCTACCCAGTCTAAGAGCTAGCCAACTCCTAGGATTGGGCAAGTATAACTTATTGTCATCCCTAGACAAAAACGAGCACTTAATCTTTGCAGTTTGGGGGTAGCCCCACTGCAAGAGTTAAGAAAAAGAAGAACTCGGGCAAAATTTAAGTCCCTTTTCTTGCTACCCTGAAAATTCCAGGTTTACTGTGACATGTGGAAAGTCTTGACACTATTTAAACAGGACATTTTACATTGGTCAAATATAGCAGAAGGATTGCATAACGTAGCCACTATTCTAGCTAGGTGTAGGAAGAGGATTGGCTTTATAAAGAAGGTATCTCGTGTTGCCCGATTTTATACTTCATATACATCATTACCTAACAGGAAGACATGACCAGTTTCCCAAATACGCACTTGATGACTGGTCCTATTAAAACCATGAAGAATAATGTGTCTGCGAGCATTCAGATTACAGATGTATAAACTGATCAGTGTGCCATATGGACAGAACAACCTAATGTTCAAATCCAATAGTAAAACGGATGCCACATTACCTGCAAGTGCTGTCTATCGATGAAGAGAAACACCGACTGGTTAGGATTGTTCACAACAATTCCAGTCTTGTCCTTCCGGCTTAGTACGTGCAGAAGATGTTTTTCATAATCACCATGATGAAATTCAAACTTGGCCTTAAAGGGGGACAAAAAGAAGGTCACATGCACTGAAGGCTGCAGAATACAAACATCCCAAAAATATATTCAAGTTCTGTCTAGAACTTTTCAGTGTTTATTGTAGTATGTTCACTAGCGTAGATACATGATATTGCCAAAAGTATTGGGACGGCTGCCTTTACACGCACATGAACTTTAATGGCATCCCAGTCCGCAGGTTTCAATATTGCGTTAGCCCACCCTTTGCCGCTATAACAGCTTCAACTCTTCTGGGAAGGCTGCCCACAAGGTTTAGGAGTGTGTCTATGGGAATGTTTGACTATTTGTGAGGTCATGTACGGATGTTGGACGAGAAGCCCTGGCTCGCAGTCTCCGCTCCAATTCATTCCAAACGTGTTCTATCTGGTTGTCAGAACTCTGTGCGACCAGTCAAGTTCCTCCACCCCAAACTCACTCATCCAATGTCTTCATGGACCTTGCTTTCTGCACAGTCATGTTGGAACAGGAAGGGGCCATCCCCAAACTGTTCCCACAAAGTGGGGACTATGAAATTCCCTTCACTGGAAGGGGCCAAGCCCAACCCCAGTAAAACAACCCCACACCCTAATCCCCCCCCTCCACCAAATTTTACACTTGGCACAATGCAGTCAGGCAAGTACAGTTCTCCTGGCAATCGCCAAACCCAGACACGTCCATCGGATTGCCAGACAGAAGCGTGATTCATCACTCCTGAGAACACATCTCCACTTCTCTAGAGTCCAGTGGCGGCGTGCTTTACACCACTGCATCCAACACTTTGCATTGCACTTGGTGATGTAAGGCTTGGATGCAGCTGCTCGGCCATGGAAACCCATTCCATGAAGCTCTCTACGCACTGTTGTTGTGCCAATCTGAAGGTCACACAAAGTTGGAGGTCTGTGGCTATTGACTCTGCAGACAGTTGGTGACTTCTGCGCACTGTGCGCTTCAGGATGGGCTGACCCCGCTCTGTCATTTTACGTTGCCTACCACTTAGTGGCTGAGTTGCTGTTGTTCCCAGTTGCTTCCACTTTGTTATAATACCATTAATCGTGGAATATTTAGTAGCAAGGAACTTTCATGGATGGACTTATTGCACAGGTGGCAACCTATCACGGTACCACACTTGAATTCACTGAGCTCCTGTGAGCGACCCATTCTTTCACAAATGTTTGTAGAAGCTTCTGCATGCCGAGGTGCTTGGTTTTATACACCTGTGGCCATAGAGGTGATTGGACCACCTGAAGCCAATGATTTGTAGGGGTGTCCAAATACTTTTGGTGATATAGTGTATGTGATTTAAAATACATATATTATCCTGTAAACCTGCTCAATCGGTCCTAAGTGAAAGCATAAACGTCCCGCACATTATCTGTACAGCGTCTTCAACAGTCTGAGGCCTGAATTTCAGAGGGCTTTAACCTTCCTGGCGATATTCTCCCCCCCCCCCCCCGCCCCCCTCCCCTCACTGGT